CTACACGCCTTTTGACCGCCTTGGTCAATGGCTGTGACCCTCATCACAGGTACAGTAGTTGCACAGTCCTCTTGAATGTCCTCCACTATAAGCATCAGGATCACTCGAACGAGCCCGGAACCATGAACCTGCTCATACCTTGCAGCCGCTGGCAAGGTGGGCAGGTCTGGATGGCTAATTCTGATGGTTCTGTGCACCTTGACCAACGCTCCGGTCCGGGTATCCTTCGGGTCGTTGAGCCACCGGGCATTACACTTGACCCGCACATCGCACACGCTACCCTTCCATGGCATGCTGGTAACAGACTACTGGTGGTGGCGCATCATGCACGTGGAGTTGGCCGCCTTACGGCACGCGAAAGTGGGCACTTGGAGTGGGCAGGTTTTTACTTGAACGATCCGTGACGGTGGTGACTTTCACTCTGCATTTTATTGCGCCGCATCTGGGCGCGAGACTTCTTACTTCTGACTTACGGCTGCCGCTTTGCGCTGGTGACACGGGTGGCGGCTTGTCGCCGTTACCCGCTTCACGAGCCGGGTCTGACGCGTCTCACTCACTCACTCTCACTCACTCACTCACTCACTCACTCACTCACTCTCACTCGTGATGGAGGCCGCGATGTAGACTCCCTATTTTCCATAAGGCGCTGCTTTAATCGTGTATTCTGGTTGTTGTGTTGCTTCTACTCTCTATGGGATGTCAGGTGACTTCAGGCAGGGACCAGGACTTGAGGGACTTGGATGTACAGTGCCTGTTGTCATCTTTTCAGTGAGCAGCTTCTCTCAGCATGTCTCTGGCCGTTCGCGGCGTGGCATGCTGACTGTCTTTGAAGGACGGTGCACTATGTGCGTCGCACCAGCGACCGGGCTGAAAGCCTGACCACATATCCTGTCGCACAGCCTGGACTTCCTTGGCGGCGTGTGAAACGAAACGAAACCACCACCACCACCACCACCACCACCACCACCACCACCACCACCACCACCCAAGCCCTCCCAGGCATGCTAATGGGAGCCACCCAGGTCCCCATGTAAGACACCGGACCCTCCATCTGGCAAGGGGGAAAGGCTGGTATATTAAAATATTATAGGGCCTCAACTTAATAATTATACCAATTACTGTGTTGGGTGTTGGGGTTCCTTATTATAAATAATAGTAAAATATGCCGCAAAAACTATTGCCACCCAGCCTTAGGACAGGACTTGCCCTGTGGGTCCAAAGGACCCAGCAGCTACTCTTAAGCACTTGGGTTTCGGAGAGTACCGGTTTAGGGTGTAGGGTTTGGTTTAGGGTCTAGGGTTTAGGGTTTAGGGGTAGTGGAGGTCAGCATGTAGAGGAGCGAAACGATGATAAGGTACTTGGACCCATGGGTTTGCGTGGATGAGAGTTCAACGTTTGCCTATTATGGACGGTTTTAGGTAATATAGGGGCCTATATTATTTTGGGGGCTCCTTTTTATAACTATACTATAAAGGACCCCGAAACCTTATTCCAATTATACAGACCCCTTTGGGGGAGAAGTTTGGGTGCAAGGAGGGCTCCGCCGCGTCACGAGTTTGATGTTTCTACCAGTTTGGCCGGCAAGGGCCCTTGCCGGCAGTATGATTGGCCTCGTGAGCATTCCTAAACCCTAAACCCTAAGCCCTATCCGGAATTCTTCGAGAATCCTTCCGCGTCAAGGCTAACGGCGCGACTCTGCGACTCTGCAAACTAATGCTGCTACTGTTAAACATATTAATAATAATAGCAATAATCATAATAGTAATAATAATAATAATAGTAATAATAATAATGCTAATAATAATAATAGTAATAATAACAAAAATAAAAATATATAGAAAATAACAATAATAGTAATAATAATCTGAATAGTAATAATTAATCATACCAACACAGTAACTATCACACACCTAAGCCTTGTAGCCCAGACAGACCTAAACCAGTAAAGCTGTTCCAGGACTGGTGCTGGCGCCGTGGTTCAAGTCAAAGCTTTCTGTGTGTGGGACACCTGAGGATAAGGGTCGGGTCGGTGTCGCCCAAAACTCCCCAAAACCAACATGGACTGAACCACTGTTCAATGATAACGGTGAGGGATTGGATATTGCCGGTGCGCAACATGCCGATTGGCGTGGAAGTGGGACTGATCAGCGGCAGGAAAGCCACTGTGCAAGCAGCCTTGGATGAGACCGTCGGAACGTTGAAACGACGGGCACAGGTTGCACTCGGGGTCGGGACAGGGCGTCTTCTGGACTCATCTGGATGCGTCCTGGAAGGATGTGCGCTGATCAAGAAATCTAGGGTGCAGAATGGTGATTCCCTGATCTTGTTGCACAGCAACACGGTTCAAGTTCAAGCCTCTGGTGGCGCCTTTGCTGCCATTCTGGACGACGGCTCCGTTGTTACCTGGGGCGAGGATGCCTCTGGTGGCGACAGTACTGCTGTGCAGACTCAGCTGAAGACGGTCCAGCAGACAAGTGCCTGTCGTCACGGAGCTTTTGCTGCTATTCTGGACGATGGATCGGTCGTGACCTGGGGACAGCCTGACTGTGGTGGCGACAGTAGGGCCGTGCAGGGACACCTAAAGAATGTGCAGCACGTCCAAGCCTCTAGCCGTGCTTTTGCTGCCATCCTTGGCGATGGATCCGTTGTGACCTGGGGTGATCCTAACTATGGTGGAGACAGTAGAGCTGTGCAGGGTCGGCTCAAGCATGTGCAGCAGATCCAAGCCTCTGAGCACGCTTTTGCTGCCATTCTTGACAATGGATCCGTCGTGACTTGGGGACATGCTGATTTCGGTGCCGACAGCAGTGCTGTGCAGACTCAGCTGAAGAACGTGCGGCAGATCCAAGCCTCTGACCGCGCTTTTGCTGCCATTCTCGGTGATGGAGCTGTCGTGACCTGGGGTCCTGCTTCGCAGGTTGATTTCGGTGCCGACAGCAGCGCTGTACAGACTCAGCTGAAAGATGTGCAGCAGATTCAATCCACTTCTTCTGCTTTTGCTGCCATACTTGGCGATGGATCCGTCGTGACTTGGGGAGATGCTGCTAATGGTGGTGACAGTCGTGCTGCTCAGGACCAGCTCAAACATGTGAAGCAGATACAAGCCACACTCGATGCCTTTGCTGCAATTCTTGACGATGGATCCGTCGTGACCTGGGGTGATCCTGACTATGGTGGCTACAGTGGAGCTGTGCAGGGTCAGCTCAAGCATGTGATCCAAGCCAGTTGGGGCGCTTTCGCTGCCATTCTTGACGATGGATCCGTCGTGACCTGGGGACATGCTGATTTCGGTGCCGACAGCAGTGCTGTGCAGACTCAGCTGAAGAACGTGCAGCAGATCCAAGCCTCTGACCGCGCTTTTGCTGCCATTCTCGGTGATGGATCCGTCGTGACTTGGGGTGATGCTGATTTCGGTGCCGACAGCAGCGTTGTGCATTCTCAGCTGAAGAACGTGCAGTGGATTCAAGCATCCTGTTCTGCTTTTGCTGCCATTCTTGCCGATGGATCCGTGGTAACCTGGGGTCCTGCTATTGATGGTGGTGACAGCAGCCTTGTGCAGGGTCAGCTGAAGGAAGTTCAGCAGATTTGTTCGTCCTCTTACGGTGCCTTTGCTGCCATTCTGGAGGACGGATCCGTCGTGACCTGGGGTGGTGCTAACATTGGCGGTGACAGTACTTCTGTTCAGGACCAGCTCAGGAATAGATAAACACTATGCCATCAGTGCGAGCAGCAATGCACAGGGTTTGCAACAACACAGCGAAGACAGGACCTCGAAGCGCTGCTGATGCTTTGCCAACATGTGCAGAATGCTGTAGTCTTCAACCAGGGCAGAGGACGAGCCTCTTGCATAATATAGGGGCCTCAATAATTATACTATACTCATAATAAGGAACCCCCAAAATAGTATTGGTAATTATGTAGGCCCCTACATCAAACCTTTATAGAATCCTTATAATAATAACCTTTATAGCAACCCTTTGAGGAACCCTGCAATGCACGCTTCGTCACATCCCACGGGCTGAAAGGACGCGACTTTCGTTCACTCTGGCTCGACGGGAAAATGCACGACGGGAGAAAATCTATATCCAGGGTGCCTAACTCTAAAGCTTAGTCAACTGCAAGAAGCCTTCTTAAACCTTCATCCACAAGTCTGAAGCCGAAAACCCCCATCCCCACACCATAAACGCCCAAGTCTTAAGCAACTTTACCCCATCCCTCGAAACCGCAAGTTTTTCGCTCCAAGCCTATACGCTTAAGCGGAAACCCTAAACCCGAAACCCTAAACCCTAAACCCTAAACGAAACCGCAAACCCCAAACCCCAAACCCTAAACCCTAAGCCCTAAGCCCTAAACGAAACCGCAAGGCGGCAAGAAGGTGGTGGACAAGCTGGTTCCGGGAGCTGGGGGATTCAAAGTCTACGAGGACCGGGGTTTAGGGTTTAAGGTTTAGGGTTTAGGGTTTGGGGTTTAGGAAATATTTTCGTATCATACCAGGAACCGTAGGATTTGGGATTTAGAAACAGTCTCTTATCAAAGCAAAAACGCAAGAAAACACTGTTCCTATAGCTATATGTTCTTATCATATTAAACCCCCTAAGAAAACACTGTTCCTATGTTGGCTTTAAGAGCAGCCAACTGCAGATCGGAAAGCCGCAGCCTAAATGCCACTTGGGGTTTAGTGTTTTAGAGTTTAGGGTTTTCGGGAGTTGAGGGACTCCAAGCAAAGTCCACAGCACCACAGAACGCAGGGCTAGAGTTGAAAAAGGGTTGAGGTGCATCTTATGATATAGTATGGGCATGTAATTGAACTCTGTGTGTGTATACGCATATAGTATAGATTATAGATACCTATATATATATATATGTGTGTATAAATGTATAAATAGATAAAATAAATATACATATAAATATAAATATAAATATAAATATATATATATATATATATATATATATATATTATGGGGGGAGGGAGAGAGAGTACAAAGGGGCCACTGCTACACATTGCTCTGTTCTCTATGCAGTCATGATACTTAAGTCCGTTTCTCTAGTACAACACCATGCAGGTCGCAGGTCCTGTGGTCATTAGGATCCGGGATGTATTCCTTAAAGCTTCATGAAGCCCGGAACCCAAAACCCTAAGCCCCTAAACCCTTACTCGTGAAGGGCAGTGGCACACCCCTAATCAAACGGGAACTACAATGGAGTCTGAACGCTGTATTGTAGATACCTCGGCGCTGCATATCCAAGGAAGCCAAAGTGTGTATCGTGTGGGCGCGTGGACCCTTAGGGTCAGAAGAAGCAGGGCACTAACTGCTGGAACCTAAACCCTAAACCCTAAACCCTTACAGCTCCCAAGTCCGCCCTCAGCTCTTGTCGTCTCTCTTGCAGAAGACTCTCAACATCCTCTTCCTGCGTCTCATCTCAATGCCCATCCCTAATTAAAGCTCTATGCTCTGAGATTATGCAAGGCTTTTGGGCCCCAAGACCGTTCTTTACAAGTTTTGTTTGTTCCATGTTGGCCCCAGCGGGTTGGCTCTAGGGATTGCAGCCCTGGACAGCTCGGAGTTCTAGCAAGATCAACCAGCCATGAGGCCTTATAGGGTTTTAGGCATAAGGGGTTTGGGGTATAGGGTTTAGGGTTTAGGGTTTAGGAGTTTAGGGTTTAGGCTTTAGGGTTTAGGGCCAAACCCACAACCGGCGACCGTCCACGAAGGTTTAGGAATTGGGAAGTTTAGGGTGTTTGGGGTAATGAAAAGCAACGCCCTCAGCTCGCAAGGACTATTCCGTCAAGCTGAATCAGACGAACGTGGACGGCCCGCACGCTCAGCTTCTTTCCCTGTCCCTGCTGTGCAAGGACCGGACGACAGTCTTCCGGTCGGGCCGAAACCCCAAACTTTAGCACTGAACCTCGATAAACCGTAGCGGAAGCCAAAAAAGCCCATAGTTCAGCCCAAGCTAAACCTGCTAGCCCGGGCCCCAAGTACGAAAAGAGCCAACTCATGATCTCAGCCCAACCCCACAACCGACAGCCGAAACGCATAGGGCCCAAAGTGATTCCAGGGTTGGCCTTCTAGAGCCCAGATCCTCTATCTATGTACCCAGAGACTCCACTACCCTTTAATTAAGGAATATACCTTAAATTATGGTAGGATCCCTGATATGATTTCAGGTATATTCCCTAATTAAGGGGTATTGGAGTCTTTGGGTACATACTCATGGCGACGAAAGCCATGAACCATGAAGCCAGGGCTAGGGCTCAACAGCAGATGGTTCAGGGTTTAGGGTTTAGGGGTTTAGGGTCTAGGGTTTAGATTCTTCGGCTTTCCGGTGGACTTCCATCTATCCTTCTTCGAACAAGCTTTTACATTGTGTGGGACTACTAGCCTCCATGCTGAAACCCCTACAAAGTTAAAGCCCCGAAGCTTCAAAAGCCGTGAAGCCTTAAGTTGAAGCCCGCAAACCCTTTAGGGTTTAGGGTTTAGGGTGTATTTTTTAGGGTTTAGGGTTTAG